AGCATGTACATTCTTCAGAAGGAAGTAACATTACCACTGACTATGTTAAAAGATTGCACTTGGCATAAAAGTAAAAGCAGGCTGAAAAAATGCTTCCGCTGAACTCAATGAGCACAGTCAGGGATTGCAACAAAGCAAAATAACAAAGAACAAAAAAAAACCCAACCCCTCCCCCCCCCCCCCCCCAGAAAACAAAGGTAGGTTGGACAGTTGTTGTCTCTGAGCAACAAAGTTTTTTTTTTGTTTTTTGTTTTGTTTTAGATCGAGTTGAAGTTTAACGGCACTTGCAACACAATCAGGTAAAATAAGAGCAGAAGATTAGAGATGTTACTAGAGAGTAACACAAGCAAAAGAAGAAGGAGAGATAAGGACGAAGGACTTATTTTCATTTTTAGTAAGCATTTTATGGCACTTGCGACACAATCAGGTCATGTAAGTGCCGAAGATTAGAGGTGGTACTAGAACGTAACATACACAAAAAAAAGGAGAGACAAAGACGGTCTTGTAATAGATGTTTGATAGGAAATAAATCAACCACCACCTCTGAGCAACAAGGCTGCAGCTACAAGCAGTGAGCTTCTGAAATATTGACGGGAGAAATTTTGTTGGCCCACTTAAGGCAGGGAACCTTTTCCGACTAGATGATGAATTCTCCACACACCATGAAGGGAGCTTTCTGAATTAAGTTGTTAGTTTTAGTAAGAGTTATATATCCCGTACAGTACAAATAATTCATATAAGTGCTGAAGATTAGAGGTGTTACTAGGGAATTTATTTGTATGAGTAAAGAGGAGCATATCACCTCAATATTTACAGCTTACAAAATGTCCAGAAGCAGGAAAAAAAAAAAGCAACCCCAGAACCATAACTGATAAGATGAGAGGAGACAGGAAGACTTTTGAGCACTAAAACCTAACCCCCTCAGAAGCAAAGCCATGAAAAAGCTTGGCGTTAGTATTAGATCAGTCACTCATCTTTCTTCGATTCATTTACAGTTCAGAATTGCCTCTCATTTTCCACCATGACATGTATGCATAATGCTTCTCTCGACCAAAAAAAAAGAGGACAATGATGGGTTTTTTTACCGTCCTCAAAACAAATTTCTCCCACAACTGTGACAGGTTTTAATAGTAGGCCTAAGTGTTTTACGGCACTTGCAATACAATAAGGTCACATGAGTACCGGAGATTTGAGATGTTTAAGAGAGTAACAAATGCAAAAAAGAAAAAGGAGAGCTTTAAGGTTGATAAACGTTTGATACAAAAGAAGGAGCGTCAGCCAACCATCCACACATCTGTGACACAAATCTTTGAGCAATTCCGGGTTGCATTTGACTTGATGGAAAACCACGTCATGAGTGATGATTAAGGTCAACAAGAAAAAAACAACTCAAAACAAAGAAACAAAATTTGTTAAAAATCCCACACAATACTGTGTTGTTGGTTTGCATGATGAAAATAACTGGGGTGGCAAAACTTAAAAACACCATACCCCTGACACCTAAAAGTGCCAAGGGAAATTTCTATTCTACTATTTAATAGCCATCACATTTTTTAGCAGGTGCTTAAATCTTAATAAAACAAGATGTATTAACAACTCTTACAGTTAAAATTGTACTGTGTTGGGAATTTCTAATTATCCAACACATTTTGAAGCAATATGCCGATAAAAAGACGACTTTTACCTCAATTAAAAAAAAAAGACACTTTTTACCCTTTAGTGCGAAAGTAATGACTAGTCACAGGTATCCAAAAGAGAATACTAATAGAATGGGGGGGGGGGGGGGGTGTATCACAGTATGATTACTGTAATGCCACCCTCTACTCTAGTCTCATCAAAAGGGGAGGGGGGGGTGGCGCTATCCTTTAGTGTCATCCAGAGGTCATATAAATGACAAAAACATTGCAATTTACCCATCCAGGGTAGTCAAAACACAATACCCCAAAAAACACTCCCACAAAAAAAATGCATTCAGGATAAAGTTAGAAAAAAACAAAAACAAATACAAACCTTTGTACAAAGGACACATTATCATCATTATCATTTCATGCAACAATAGAAATTTGGTGGGTTTATGTACAGCTGTACATGAGTACTATATCTGTGAGTACATTTTGGTATAACTGATAACGGAGAATTGCCGAGTCTTTCACAACCGTATGCCGTCTTCTTCACAACATGCACAATGTAAAGTATACTGAGATGGCTTCCAAGAACCTTACAACGCAAGCGTCCCAACAAAACGGCCAACTAATTTCCCTCATATTGCTCAGTACTTACGTCTTCACGTTTATCATTTGCCCAAACTTACCCTTCTCGTGCCAACTACAAAAAGTATAAGTCTAGTAAGTCTGACTCAATACTGATATCAATTACAATATAAAAGCAGTACAAATGAATCCTACTGAGATTAATTTTTATTAATTCAATAATATTTTGTTGGACCCCATTCTAAAAAAAAAAAGAAAGTAACAAATCTATCCAATAATTGGGATTCACACGAGAACCAATTGGCACTAGAAAATTAAAGCAACAACTGCTTTTCACTTTTCATTCCGTAAAATTTGTACTGTGTTGGGAAATAATTCCTAGACATTTTGTTGTTGTAACATGCTCTTAAAAAGAAGACTTTCCTTCAGCTTCAAACTTTTTTTTCTCCCATTCACACAACCAAAGAGAGGCTGTTGTCACACAACTGAAAACAATCTTTGAAATCATGGAATAAGACAATCTACTTAAGAAAAAGTTTTCAAATTCCCTATAGTTTAGATGTCTTCCTGAACTTCATACAACAAATTATAAATCCACATATGAACCATCCTTCCAAAAAATCCCCCCCCCCCAATACAAGATCCAAAAAATAACACAAACAAATTATGATATGTTATACAAACGTTTTACACTAAGAACTGAAAGTCTCTCAAGCAACACAAAGGGCAACATTCTTCTATCTTCAAAACTTCATACAGTATCAGAGACAATCATGCTTGGAAGCAGTAGAAAACTGCTGACAATTGACAAGAAAGATAATTCTGCGTGTTGAAACTGAAAAAGGAAAAAAACTCCTGTTTTCAGCTGCCACTTTTATAATAATGCCGTGGAAAAGTAATTCTGAATGCTGCCATTTTTTAATTGACAAGAAAAAAAAAATCCTTATTCTTAACTTAAAGGGAATACAGTTGAAAAACCAATGCTGAAACTTCCTGGAATGTTCTCTCCAATGTCTTCTTTCCGTGATGAGAAGAGATTATAGAAGTTATTGAAAAAGATGTGCAGAGAAAAATTGCGATCAGAAACCTTTTTCTCCACACTGTCCTGTCACTTAGGGCAACCATCCAAGTCCACGCGTTACAAAATCTTGAAGAGGCAGTTTGTGCTATTCCACAGAACACAAAAATACTCTGCAACGTCATACATTTAAAAAAGCAAACAAAAAACCCCACAAAAAACTGTAGTCTTGAACACTTTTCTTCACACATACACCGGTTTCAGGAAACATCTTCAAGTCACTCCAAAAGAGAATAAAGAAATCTTTTTTCTTCTGTCATATGTTGAACCAATTGATTTGAGAACCATATTTTTTTCAAATCAAACTCTGAATTTCTTCAAAAATAAAAATCCAGCCAATGTCACTTCACAGGGAACATTCCTAATAAAAATCCAAGACACAGGAATTAGCAGTAATAAATCCGACTAATGAGCCCTTAATCGAGACATTACTGTAGTTAACTGTATCAAAATTGATTTAAAAAAATAATTCACTTGGATTATTTCAAACCATCATTCGGTACGATGTCACTAGAAACTGTTTCAATTAACACAGAAATACTTCGATCAAAATTCAATTTTAAAAATAATTCTCTTGGGATATTTCAAATTGCCGTTCAGTACTATTTCAATTAATTCAGCTGCGCTCAAGCACACAAGCAGTCCCACAAGAACACACAAGTCACACACGTTTTTACACTCGGCGTGTAGAACTTCCTCCTTCCTCCACTATTGAATAAATAAGAACCACAGTCTCGTTCTCCTTCAACACAAACTTGCTTCCTTGCTTGCAGTCAGAATCATGGAGCAGAATATGTTTTGGTTTGAAAAAAAAAAAAACCTTCCAAAAAACTTGCTTGCTTGCAGTCAGAATCATGGTAAAGAAGAACTTGTTTTGGTTTATAAAAAAAATTTAAAAACTTCCCAAAAACTTGCTTGCTTGCAGTAGGAATCATTGAGTAGAAGAAGTAGTAACAAGAATAATATTAACAACCTCAACAATGTCTGATGAACGTAAGAGTGCCGAAAGAGCGGACGACTCGTGCCGTTGATCGGTTCCATTTGTGGTATACAAAAATCTACAAAAGTAAAGCTTTGTGGTGCTCTCCAGTGTTCTGGTAGACACGACGAGATATATTACGATGCATTGATCTGCAGTAGTAAGGCTCCGGGGGTCTGCTGTATGCTGTGACCACAAAAACGT